AAATCTGGTGTGTTTGTGTTAGCTAAACAGAAAGGGCAGAGTCTGAGACGGATGAAGAAGATCATTGAATTCTCCGTCGCGTGTGATTGTACTGACCGCACTGCTGAGGTAATAATCAAACCTAAAGCTGAAGGTACACCAGAACAGAGTTTCCCTCTTCGCCCCAGTGCAGCCGATCACCCAGGACACGTTCGGCATGATTCTTTATTTTCTTTACTGGAGCTACGAGACAAACGGAGCTAACAAGTAATTGAAGTTTATACCCCACTGATTAGCATCGGTCAAACTGCAGGCCTAAATCATCATACGTTAGCCTTAACAGAGTCGAGCTGTTAAGTAAACTCAACAGACTTGCTAATGTGCTTCTTAACTTTATGCATAATTAAATGGTTAAGATGTAAACAAAGTCTTTCAGTTTGATGCGAAACGCTTCTAGAGAAACTCTGATATGTTCACAGCGGTGCTGATAGAAACCACACGTCTGAAGCCTTTCATGCCTTTTGCAACTTCATAGAAAACTATTTGATGAAATGGTTGTAAACACACTGCCTGATGCCTGAAGACACAGAGTGTGTTTACATGCTCACAATAATGCTATCATAATGGGATTTCTGCATTATCTGATTATTCAAGTGGTCATGTAAACACCATACTCCGATCTAGAAACCCAATTAAGAAATCTGATAAAGAGAGCTGGATTTTAGCTCAGTAATCAGATTTCTCAGTGCATGTAAACTCTTACTCTGATTTCTATCAGATTTTTCAGTCTGTGCATGTGCGAAAACAGACGGCTGTACCGGAAATAAGCAGCAGTGTTGCCGCGAGACGCAGCAAAACACTTCTGCAGCGACGCTGAAACCAAATACATGCGTGATGAAATGAAGAATTAATTATTCTTTATTTACAATTTGATCTATGTTCATATTTTTAGGTTAAGTGATGCGATGTTTTTTAAAAAAAGCTGCATCATGAAGTTTAACACTGAAGTTTGTTTTACATTACATTTACATCACGTCTTCTTCTGTGAGTTTATTGGCTGGTTGCAAAGCAGAAATCTGATTACTGTCTGACTCACGTAGACCCGGAGTTTCACATCATCTGATTACTCAAGTGCATGTAAACACGTTGACTGGATTATAGATAGAATCGGATTTTCCTGAGTTTTGAGCCAATTTTGGCCTAAAACTTATTTTTTTAAATCCAAAAATTGTAGGGAGGGCATTATAAGGCAAAATAGAACCCTCCCCCACCCCCCACCCCCGTCCCCAAAAAGTTTGCGTTGTAGGTGTTATAACATTTGGTTCCTATCACCACCACTGTAAAGAAAATCTAAGATTGTTTCTCTATGAGGCATCATTTCACATGAAAACACTCTGAATGACTTTGTTTAGATCTCAACTACTGAATTATGTAAACATTTTGAGGAAAAAAAACAGTGGAATTCCCCTTTAGAAAAATGAACAAATACAGGTATCAAGTCACCTGCTGCTACTTTTTTTTTAGCTAGACTGTATGCTTTTGTTCATGTCTACAGAAAACAGCATGTCACACAGCGTGTTACACTAAAATGAAAGCAACAATGGTACAAACAATGTAAATGTGCCCTCAAAGGTACAACAGTGGTTTTAAGGTCCGATTGTGTACCTTAAATACGTTTTTCCTAGGTGACAAATACATATTCATACATTTTCATAACCGAATGTTTTAAAACAGAATAATAAAATAAAAAGCCTGGAGACGAGACGGGGTGTGTGGAGTCAGTACAACTTAGGAAATATCATTTAAATGGATTATGGTACAGTTATGTTCCCTGACTAAAGGTACTGAGATGTACCCTTGAGGGTACCACCCCAGTGACACGAGGGGCACTGCCCCAGTGACAGTTTCATACCTTTATTTTTGAGAGTATAGCGAGTTAATGGAGATGCTAACATTAGTATTAACTGAAGCCGGCTTCCTACTTCTATTCGCCAGCTTGTTCAAATTTTCCCGTTCCACCTTAAATGCAGCAGTTACATTCTGACAAACACAAAGCTAAATTCAGCTTCCTATTTAAATTTTCCCGTTCCACCTTAAATGGTGCAGCAACTACATTCTGGCGAATATGAAGCTGAAGTCTTGAGAGAGTCTGCATCTTTCCCATGACTGGGCGTGGTTTAGCGCCTTACGCACACGCAAATTTCTGCTAATTTTATCCCAGTTTTGAAACCTAATTTTATACACTTGACATTTTTTCTGATCAGTCAAATTTGCTGGGTGGTTAGTAACACATTTTTCTGTGGTGTGACAAACAGAATACACATTTATTACTGTTTTACACGAGATTTAAGCTGCATTCGCCTTGTAGCCTCAGTGCAAAGCTAAAGAAGTAAACTTCACACACACCAAACACATCTTGGTTGATTGACTACATTTGGCGAAAGACGGAAAACTGTGTAAATATGTTTGCTGAGCTATTGCTTCAAAAGTCACACTGATATAAACTTTTAGCAATGAGGACAATAAATAAATAAATGCACAAACAGACCTCTGCAGTCAGCTCTGAAAACTCTGACCCTGAGGAGGAATCAGCAACAGAAGCAGTCGGCTCTGCCAAGAACACCTGTATTGATCTGTACCAAAACGTGAACACATCTCAGAGGAGAGAGCAAAGCAAAAAGAAGCGATATCAACTGCCTCGTCAGAGTTCAATTCTGCTGCTGCTCAGACGACGCGGACAAAATTTGCTGCTTTGTGCATGTCGTTCTTAATGAGTTTAAGGACCTTGAGATTAGATGTCTGAATCAGCCTTAAAGGGACCATATTCTTCGATTTTCTTGTATTTTCGTCTGCTGAGATTGTGTGCTTTTATACACTTCAAAGACATAATTCATCATCCAACCTCTTTCCTTTATCCCTTAGAATTCAACAGGCTGGTTTTGTTACTGTGCCTTTAAAACCAATATAATTGATATAAATGACCTTTGTTCTGATTGGCTGCCTCACATGGACTGGGGAGTAAATGGCACGTTATGAAATTTTAATACTGATGAAATTATATTTTCTGTGATGTGGGAAAAACTCTACAAGGTTAATGCAAAAGAGGCTATTTGGGTAGTCTTGTCAACTTTTTATTGTTATTAATGTGATTTCTCAACGGTTTCCTTGCATATATTTGATAGAGTCGTATGTGCCCTTGGTCAAATGACATTTTGTTGATTTATTGGTAAATAAATAAATAAAGTGCAAAAACTTTTGCACAGGCTGGATCTAACAAAGTTGAAAATTCATAGATTTTTATGTTGTGTCACAATACCACATTTAGGGAGCAAACGTATAAATAGGAATATACCTCACACTTCAATCGCCTTTTATTGTTACTCTGATGAAACAAATCAATAATTGTTTCCATAGCAACGTCAACTCCACTCTGAATGTGTATGCACACTTGCTCAGGAACTATCACAGTGCATCCAACAATGGTGCATGAAAGAAAAGGCAGCACAGAGCTTCTTTTATACAGTGACAGGAAACACAGAGCACACAGAAAGCTCCAGTTCCACATGCTGAACCATTTTACTGACCAACGTGGAAGCGCGCCCTCACCAACTACTCTGGAGGCGGATTTTAAAGAGTTAAAGGGGACAAACACTCTGAATGCACTGCAGATAAGATGTTGGGTCTGAGAGGGTTAACTACTCAGCACATGTTCAGAGCAAACTGGCTGCGCGTGTTTATATCTCGCTTTGGCATCAGAGCCCACAGAGGAAGCACTTCTCCGTCTGAGGATTACAGGACTGGTGCAATAGGCAGATTTGTGTGTTTACAGTGTAGAGACCCTGGATGGATTTTAAATGTACATAATCATGCTGGTATACACGACAGAAGCCAATCAGCGCTGCCTACTACAAATACATACTGACGTGGGAAAGAGAAAAAGGCAAAAACCAACACAATTTTGTGTTTCTGATAGATTAAAATACACCATTTACACCATTTACCCCGACTCCCTCAATGCAGTTCATCTTTAGGAATGCAGTGATTTGGGAATTGTGGGCCGACACCACTATCTGATATTTTGAATGTGCTTACCTGCCAATGCTGATATATAAACATTTATAAAATGAAGAAATCGGCACTAAATGGATTAGTGTGATATTTCTTTCTTTATATATACATATATAGATTTTTCTTTTTTTTTTTTGGTGAGAGGGGGTGGCAACGTATTGGACTCGTCGGGTTCATGAAGTTAAGTAGAGCAGTCTTATATAAGTGGGAAGTGCATGTTCACCACTGGTAGCTACTAACATAACATTGCAAATACCATAGCAACACATTAAGCATTATTGCAGCAGTGCTAGTCATGTTATGGCTATGTTCATGAAATAACTGTTCATGAAATAACTGGCTAAAAGCAGCATAAAACACTTCTAAAAAAAACTGGCAGTAAAATGACTTAAAATGACATAAATGTCCATGTCCTACTGGTCTCTCACTTACAGTAAGAAACGGGGCCTTATGGACACAAACATTTGTCTACGTAATTTTAGCCACATAGTGTTTTTTATATGAAGTATGAAGTATAAGGCTCTGTTTATGTCTTTCAGTAAAAAATTTTAGACTGTGTTGGACTGTGCATAGTTTGCCATTATTCATTTAAGCCTATTTTTATGATTTGGCCTTTAGCAAACAAACAAAACACAATACAAACAAACAAACAAAAATCCACTGTTACCTGATTAATTCTGTAAATAACAGTAGTAAGTAATAGAAACAGAAACTATTTACATATTAGGTTTTTTGACTGTTCATATTTTTTAAAAAGCCAAAAAAAAAAAAGGGGTACACACTTCAGTACATACTTTAAAGAAAAATAATCTAGTCCAATAATCTATTCTAATATCCCAAAATGGATGTATTTCTATTGTCACATTCAGATTCATTTTTATACCCCTTCTATTGAGCTGTGTCCACTGACCCATAACCAGCCCACTCTGACTCAATCATTTCTACTGGCTCACCTGCGGGCTGCACCCTCCTCATAGGGTGGGATGATGACCACTTTGACAGTGACTGAAGTGCGCAGCAGGTCGATCATCTGCTCATGGGTCAGCGTTACCGCAGCAACCTTGCAGATCTCCACCAGCCGGCTGCCCTGACGGAGCCCGGCCTGCCAGGCAAAGCCGTACTCCTCCACCTCCGAAACCGTGCCGTCCAAGCGCACATGAAAACCCAGCTGACCCAGGCCATTCCGCCTCAGTGTCATGTCCACCGTCTCACAGCCAATAGTCAGAGCCTGAGCAGGGAGAGAGGAAATGCAGGCTGTTAACATGTACATCTGGATACATCTGTCATGCACGCAACTGGACTGCGGAGACAAGTAGGTCATTTCTGATACAAACTACATAATCTTTATTTTGCCCAAGCCAGTGTCCACTGAGTAACTGCCAATCAAAAACTGACAAATACTTTACCTTCTTTTGAAATTTTTGACTTTCACTGTTAATTTTCAATTAACAACCAATACCTGCAAAGGTTTTTGTTCACATAAAGCAGCTATTAGCTAATCCTTTGGGTGTATTTATCTTCAACACTCAGCTTCATGATCAGCAAAGTGTCCATTTTTGTGTCCCTAGCGTTTACAGATATATTACACTTGAAAAACGTTAGGGTTACAATTTATTTATATTTAAAAAAAAAACAAAAAACAATAAGTTTTTTAATCAATTATCTAGAACTCCAAGCACCACAGAAGAGCTCGTCCTCAGTCATGTGTAAAGGCTGAGTGCCATATTTTGAGGTAAAAAAAAACATGTTTTTCTGCAATTCTAACTGCAATAATCTATATGTGACTATGAACTATACGATTTAACTGACATAAAGAAAACAAATGCCAAATAAATATTATAAAATATATAACGGAAATATATAATGTTGTGGTCCCCAGGAGTCATGTCACTGGTGTTACTGTGTAACAAAAAAATCTCTTATTTTGAAATAAAAATCACACTGATGACATCACTTGACTTCCTTTTACCTATTTTCAGAGGATCTATGAAGAAAAGCACATGGTGAGTCCACTGTGTCTTTCAGTTATCAGAGATTTTCTCATTTAGCTCATGATTGCCTGTGCTGTGACAGGACAAAGTGAGAAAACACAGCAGAGGGTATAATAGTTTGATTAATTATAATGATAGATGACAGATAATAGCTGACAGATTAACTGATTGTAAAAATGACCCTCAGGTGCAGTTTCATGTCTCTGATGTCCTTCACATACCTTTAACTTCTGCACCACCTCTCTGATGTCCTGGGCTCCTCCCTCAGGTACCCGCAGTGCCACATGGTCTCCGCGCCCGTAGTAGATTTTTAGCGCCAGCCGTTCGGCTGTCCAGCCAATCACGTCTGCGCAGAAGCAGTTAAACACGACCTCTTTGGTGGAGCAGTCAGCCAGCACCACGAACTCTGCAGAGATGGCCAGAACGCAGGGAAGCTCTGCGCCCCCTCCGCTGAAATCCTGCGCCACAACACGCCAGGAAACACCGCCCAACGCCCCGAGCTCCGCCCCCTCCCGTGCCCGCACCCGTTCACGGCGCTTTGAGGCCAGAGAGATGAGGTTGTTGAGCTTGCCGGCCGTGTCCAGCGGCGTGCTGGACACACAGTTCTCGGCCAGGTCCCGCAGGTAGCCCTGCCGCGTACGGGTGGCCATGGCGTGAAACTTCTCTGACTTGTGAGCGGCGTTTTCAGCGTTAATTATCTTGGCCAGGAGGAAGGAGCGGAAAGCGGCTGGGTCACGGAAAGTTGCACCGCTGGGAGGGAGGGGAGGGCCAAACGGGGGGACGTCCTTCATACGGGTCACAGCAACGCTGCAGAGAGAGAAAGAGAAGAATATTTCCTTCAATATTATCATCATTATTAGTATTAAACATTCTGTGACATCACAAACACAATGAATGCAAAACTGGCTGCTTTTTTCGGCTTAGTTTCTGAATAAGGACAGCACAGATGGCATTTGTCAAAACGTTAACAATGTTCACATAATATATCAAACTCTTATTCAAAAAAAACAAAACAGAACAAAACAAAACAAAAACAAAAATAAATGTTTTTGTTCCATGATAAGGGCCCTTTAAAAGAACAGGGAAAGACAATCTCTCTGAAAATGAACCGACAAGTTTGTGATGTGTTTAAAAAAAGATTTTTTGGTGTGGTAACCACGGCAACTGCTGCCAGGGCATGGTTGCCATGGTAACCGGCGGCTGGTAGCTGTTGGAAGTGTCCTGGATGCTGCTTACCTGTAGCAGGTGTTCTCTGAGCAGGGGTTGTGCACGCGGACGATAACAAAGACGTGCTGGAAGTGGGAGCGGATGTTCTGGGGGGTGAAGGGGAGGGCACCCGGCTCCTGGAAGATGATGGTGACGATATCATTCCCTATATGCCTCTTCCTCAGGAGCTGAGAGAAATAGAGAAAGAGAGAGAGAGAGAGAGAAACAGACAGAGGGAGAAACAAAGAGAGAGAGAGAGAGAGAGAGAGAGAGAGAGAGAGAGAGAGAGAGAGAGGGGGAGAGAGAGAGAGAGAAACAGATAGAGAAACAAAGACAGAGAGAGAGAGGGGGGGGGGAGAGAGAGAGCGAGAGAGAGAGAGAGAGAGAGAGAGAGAGAAAGAGAGCGAAAGAGAGGGAGAGAGGGAGAGAGAGGGAGAGAGGGAGAGAGAGGGGGGGAAGAAAAACAATGGTAAGAGTGATGCAACAGACAAAACCAGTAGTGCTAACAACTGAAAGCCAGAAAAAATAACACAGTTCAAAAAGATAGATAGATAGATAGATAGATAGATAGATAGATAGATGGACAGACAGACAGGTAGATACACAAACAGACAGACACACAGATAGACACGAGGCCTGGGTGATAGGGTGATGTATCTGATATTGGCAATGACTGAAAAGTAACCTGATGACGATGCTAAAGAGGACTAATGTAATTTTAAATAGCATGTTAAAATAGTATAAATTAATATCTACATGTAACGTCTTGTTTTCTTTAACAGTCAAAACAATTTATTACTATGGGGCATTAATAAGCCATTCGGCTACGGTACAGCAAATTCTCCACTGTTTCTTTCAAAACTTTCAAAACAGGAACGGAAATGGTTCATTATCAATATTAACATATGTGGGGATTCACTACCCCTACAAATGTAAAACTCAGCAAATAAACAGAAACTATGCACAAACCTTTGGAGAAAAATGCCATATTTAAGTAGTTTCTAATTGAACTATATACTATAAATAGTTTAACCACCTTTAGAGGATGTGTTAACTTACATTCACTTAAAATCAACAAATCACCATTTCTACAGGATTTTTAAGCTTCTGTATATGATGGTAAATAGATAGACGGATTTTAAACAGCATACGAAAAAAAATCTTGAATAACACCTGTGTGTAATGTATTACACCTTTAATGGTTAAAAAATGGATTATAGAGCATTAATAAGCCATTAAACTACAGTAGAAAAAAATCTCCACCGTCTTTGCTGCAGATTTCCCAGAGTGACATACCATCTGAACTTACAGTTTAAGTGTTCTGGTGGTTCAGATGAGATGTAACATTGAGGAACTGGAGGAACTGTTGACACAGTAGTGGAATAAAGACAATAAAAGAAATACAAACGCCACCTTGCTGACTGCACTGCGCCAACTGTAAAGTTTGGTGGAGGAGGGATGATGCTATGGGGTTGTTTTTCAGGGGTTGGCATAGATCCCTTAGTTCCAGTGAAGGGAAATCTTAATGCTTCAGCAGAACAAGATATTTTGGACAATTGTACATTCCAACTTTGTGGGAACAGTTTGGGGAAGAACCCTTTCTGTTCCAGCATGACTGAGCCTCAGTGCACAAAGCAAGGCCCAATTAGTCCTGGCTGGATGAGTCTGAAGTGGAAGAACTTGACTGGCCCACACAGAGCCCTGACCTCAACCCCATCCAACGCCTTTGGGATGAACTAGAGCAGAGATTGTGAGCCAGGCCCTCTCGTCCAACATCAGTGTCTGACCTCACAAATGCTCTTCAGGATGAATAGGAAAAACTTCCCACAGACACTCACCAAAATCCTGCAGAAAGCTTCCCAGAAGAGTGGAAGCTGTTACAGCTGCAAAGGGGGACCGAGCCCATATTAATGCCTATGGATTCAGAATGGGATGTCATAAAAGCTCCTGTGAGTGTAATGTGTAGGTGTCCCAATACTTTTGTCCATACAGTGTAGCCTGGGAGTTTTATTTTGGCCAACATATGTGCACACACTTCACTGAATAATACTGTATTTGAATCTAACATTTCAACACTAGTGTATTAATCAGTGCTGAATTAACACAGATCAACACATTATGATGTACTGACGTGTGTTCATAACCCTAGTGGTCTAGGCAGAGCAGTACAGAGATGATATCTTTGCTGGATGTAAAACAAATAAAATTACAGCACTGCCCTAAATAACACTACCTGCTTTATTCTCCAGCTCAGCTCACAGCTCAGTCTGGCTTACAGATAAATCTGAACACCATGTGTGAGTCCTCATTTGATCTCATAACAGCAGAGATGAAAGAATGAGGGATCTGACAGCGCAGTGAAAGAGTGTTTACTAAAAGACGTGTTCATTATCCAGGGCTATTAATAACCATGTGTGTGTCTGAGTGACAGGCCTCAACGCTGAGTCACAGCAGCACAAACTACCAGCAGTACAAACTACCGTCTCTCTACAGCAGAACGAGCATGAGAGTCATATAAGACAGCTTACACGGTCGTGTGAAAAAGTTTGAACACCCTCGGTCAAATTACGCTTTGTTGATTTTCTAGTTGAAAATACACTGTGTGGCCAAAAGAACGTGGACACTTGACCATCACACTAATATGAGCTTGATGGATCTCATTCCAAAACCATGGACATTATTATGGAGTTGCTATAACAGCCTCCACTCTTCTGGGGAGCTTTCCACAAGATTTTGGAGTTTGTCTGTGGGAATTTGTGCCCATTCAGTCAACAGAGCATTTGTGAGGCCAGACACTGATGTTGGATAAGAAGGCCTGGCTCACAATCAATGCACAAGTTCATTCCAAAAGTGTTCAGTGGGGTTGAGGTCAGGGCTCTGTGCAGGCCAAACTCAAACCATGTCTTTATGGAGCTCACTTTGTGCACAGTGGCGCAGTTCTGCTGGAAAAGGATAGGGCCTTCTCCAAACTGCTGCTAAAGTTGGAAGCATATAAATCTCAAACATCTTTGTATACTGTAGCATTTACATCACTCTTCAGTGGAATTAAGGAGCCTAAACCCTAAAAAACAGCCCAGACCATTATCCCTCCTCCACCAAACTTTACTGGCCCCTTTGAATTGCACAGAGTGATCTTAGGCTTGCTCAGCTGTGAAAACTCCTGTGGCAAAGGTGGCATCCTATGACAGTGCTACATTTGAATCACTAAGCTCTTCAGTATGGCCCACTCAGTGTTTGTCTATGGAGACTGCATGTCTATGTGCTTGATTTTAGACACATAATAAAGTGTGTGGCTAAAATGCCTGAACTCAATATTCAGACCACACAGTGTATCTGTACCAGCTAAGATACATGAGTGGACAACAAAGCACTTTGATAAGTCACATCTGGTGAAAGCTGTAAACGTACATATGTGATCACATGCTTATTTGTTTACTCGCAAAGTAAAAGCTTTGAGTAAAGAGAAAATTGGCCATAAAAATGAAGAGTCGATGCATCCCTAACTACAAACACTCTTCAAATAGTTCTTTCTCAAACACACAGATTCAAACACTAAAACATGTGCAACAAACAATCTCTTTACTGAGAGAGAGTCCAGAGAGACTCTCAGAGCCTGGGGCTACTCAGTGACACAGCCTGCAACTCTCCTGTCCAACTGTATTCTACTGAAACCTCCCTCAACCCAGAGACAGAGATGAAGTGAGAGAGAGAGCGAGACAGAGAGAGAGGGAGAGAGAGAGAGGGAGAGAGAGAGAGGGAGAGAGAGAGAGAGAGAGAGAGAGAGACAGACGGACAGGTAGACAGACAGATAAAAAAACAGATAGGATAAACAGACAGACAGACAGATGGGGTGATTAAGAAGTGGTCGGGCTCCATTTAAAGAGGCTCTGGAGATCCACAGGACTGAGAGATGCATGACTGACTGAATAGCTCAACACTGCCCTCTGCAGGCCACTGTGAGTACAGATCAACAATTATGTAGGTCAGTAATGGCTCCACACAGGGCATATCTTTGAGCTTTTAGAATACGCTATACAACAAACATAACAATAACAATAACCATGTGAATTAAAATAGACATGTTCAGCCTCAACCGTTGTGTGGTGTGGTTGTGTTTGTTACTCAGTGGTCTGGTGAACCCACTGCATTACTGTTTCTTCAAATAAATACAGCCATAACAATTTATGTAAAAATACCAGATGTTTAAAATATCACAAAGGGTCAGCATAGGGTTCTCCTTTAGCAGCTGTAGCCAGTCAGCAGCCTGAACATGTTGTCCACCCTCACACACACACACACACACACACACACATATACAAACACAGACACACACAGACACACACACTAACAGCAGGCCATGTAGGAGGAGAACAGAGTGAAGGACACAGCACCTCCACACTTTTATTCCCTGTGGGTTCACCCAACACCACATGTGTAATATAAATGTGTGGGGGGTGAACAGAGTGAAGAGACTGAAAATGGGTTATTATATATGTTCTTCACAGAAAATGATAAAAGGCCAAGAATCTGAGGTTGAAATAATAATAAATCACAATTTTCCTTTGGTAAACATTGAAAATGGGTCCCACAGACGCCAACACCACACAAGGGTTAAATATAGTTCACCTCACACCTGTGTTTTGAAAATGGTTCTAACAAAAAATGTTCTTCTATTGTTACGACACTCTTAAAAAAGATGGTTCTTCAAGGGTTCTTTACTAAGGAAAATGGTGCTATATACAACCATGGACACTCAAACCCTTTGGGTTCTTTGCATTGTTAAACCTTTTTGAAAAGGGTTCTATATCACACCAAAAAGGGTTCTTCTACTGTTACAATGTAGAGCCTGTAACAATAGAAGAACCCTTTTTGGTGCTATATAGAATTCTTTTCAAAAAGGTTCTACATAGAACCATATAAAACACACTCTCCATCAGTCTAAAGAACTCTTTCACTATGCAAAGAACCCTTTAATCATGCAAAGGGTTCTTTAATTGTCCATGGTTCTATATAAAAACATTCTCCATACTAAAGAACCATTGAAGAATCATCTTTTTTAAGTGTGACATAGTCATAACAATAGAAGAACCCATTTTGGTGTTATTTATAACCATTTTATTCTTTTTTTTTATAGAACATTCTCGATCAATCTGAAGAACATATACAGAACAATATGAGTTCTACGTAGAACTGTTTAAGCATGAAATCAAAGTAAAGTATGTCTTGATTGTAGGTGAAAATGAAAAGGAGTGTATGAGAGAAACGAGGGATGAAAAAATGATACATAGTAGACTGCAGGTCGGTATGACTGTGGATAAGAGCTTGGGGACCTGCCCTGAGTTAGTACATGCATTTTGGTCTGTTGGGCAAATGTTCTATATAGAACTCATGGCTCTAAACCCTTGAAGAACCATCTTTTTTAAGAGGTAAAGAAAAAGTTCCAGATTATAGTGATGTCTCTGGAACATAACAGTTCCTAGGCTTGACCCCAAACTGCAACCAGGCCCCCTGATATAAAATTCTGCCTATGCCACTGGAATGACGACTGCTGAACTCCAAAATATAAAACCACCAACACAATACTGCTACTAAACTGACATTTAGAACACTACTTGTATACACATTTATTATATTATATATCTATATTATATATGTTATATACTATATATGTTTTTTTTCTCCTTATTTTCTTCTCATGTTTTATATCAGCACATGCCTCACACACACAGATACAAACGCCTCTCACACAATAGGCGGCACATCACTGCTGTATTATTAACAGCACGGAAATATGAAAACAGTGAGTGAACCACACCCTGATCCACGCTGGAGAGAGAAAAGAGCAAGAGGAAGAACACAGAGAGAACAAAGAGGCTTTACAAACAACTCTGCACTCGCAGAAACTGAAAGCGGACTGACAGAAACTCTGCCTCACGGCGGACCACTTAAAAAAAACAAAAACATTCCAGCATATCTACTGTTCGTACTCCACGGGCTTCACAAACGCACCACTGTTAGACTGAAGCTACACTCCACAGCTAGAGGTCCCAAAAAATACTTTGGATCGACACCACAAAAGAACCACTTTTTGTTCCCTGAAGAACCTTTCAATGGATTAACCATTTTGGTAAATGAGATGAGAATCCCTGAATAATGCAAACGTTCTATATCCACTAAAAGCTTCTTTTTAGAACCATACTTCCAGGCCAAGAACTATTAAGGAACCTCTAGAGTGCAGCTCTACACTCTAGATAAAAAGGTATGAAGCTGTAACTGGGGCAGTTCCCCTCTTGTCACTGGGGTGGTACCCTCAACGGTTGTATTGACTCCACACACCCTGTGTAGTCTTCAGGATTTTCATCTGATTGTTCTCTTTTAAAACATTTGATTATGAAAAGGTACATATATGAACTTTTCACCTGGGAAAAACTTATTTAAGGTGCACAACTGGACCCTAAAACCACTGTTGTACCTTTGTAGGTACATTTACATTGTATGTACCTTGATGAACGAAAAATGTGCCTGTACGGTACCTTTATTTCTAACAGTGTACAGCTCTTAAGAGTGGCTGTTTTAAAGAGAGGGAGGGGCCAGTAATAATAATAATAATAATAATAATAATAATGTTTCAAAATGTTCTCAATACAAATGACTGTGTTTGTAATAACTTGGAAAACCCCAGTGGGTTTCAACCCAGTGTCTACGTGTCACATCTGTATTATATAATCAAAAAAAGCAGGTGATTATATTAATTACGTACAGGAAAATGCATCAACTGCTGTCTGTGGCAGTTCGGCTGCTACAGATGCAGCAGATAGAGATTATAAACATGCTAAATACAGATGTATGAAAAAGTTTGTGCGCCCCTGGTGAATTTCTAAGCCAAAATAAGTCTACAGCACTTCTGTCAGGCTCCAGTCCTCACAGGCCAAAACACTGCAGACTTCAGCACACTGCCTTATTAAACACACCTGATTCAGCGCATCAGATAATTAGCAAAGCCTTCAAGAGCTGAATTCAGAGTATCCTCACTAATTTGGCTCGGAAGGTCCCCAGTTTGACATGTCTGCTCTACTGAGAACACATTTCTGCGCAATTTTAGGCACAATTACTGCTTATTTGCTTAATTTATCATATTGAAAAAAATAAAACACAAAATGCGGCCTGTGCAAAAGCTATCGCACATTTTCCATTTTATGTCGTATTTTATCCGATATGTTCAAGTCAGCAAATAAATAGAAATTGTGCATTATATGTACAGAAGTGTTTTCTGTAGAGGATGTGTCTGTAAAGAATATAAGCAAATCACCAAAACATCTAATTTGACCAGACGTATTCAAACTTTCGCATACACCTGTTTGGTGCTTCAAGGGTTCTTTAGTGAAGGCACAGTTATATATAGAACCATTTGAATGCATAAATGGCTCTCTGCTTGGTTAAATAGTTATTCTTTATGATGGAAAACAAATGGCATGTTTTGTTGAAACACTTTTAAAAGCACATTTAAATTTTTCCATTTCTATTCCTTTTCACTTATTTGCTGAATTTAACATATTGGGAAAAAAATAAAGCATAAACCATTAAAGGCCTCATTACATTTGCATAGGCCACATTTATGTTTTATTATTTTTTTCCCCAATATGTTAAGTTCAGGAAATAAACAGTACATTAACATGTGCAGTAGCGTGTTCTCTGTAGAGAATGTGTTTACTTATTTTCAAGTCAAGAAACTGTAATTTGACTAGAGTGCCCAAACTTCAGACTGTACTGGGGGGGTTTCTTACCTGTTGGGGGTTGTTGGGCATGTATGGAAGCATCGTAGAGACGTGAAACATGATCTCATAGCCCTGATAGGTGGTGTAGAGGGAGTGTGTCCCAGTAGAGTCCGCTGTTCACGCACACACACATACGCACACACAAGACACACAGAGTTCACTGAGAATTAGACAAAGTAATGAGACGTCCATGTAATATAATCATCTACAATGTTCCTGAAGAAAGGGATGGAGGTTGTACGAACAACAGTTATCATCATTGTTATATAATTATATTATCATGTAATTACAGTCCTTATCAGTATATCAGTTTATCTCTTATCATCATCTTACAGTCTAAAGAAGGAGTCATGCACAAACTACGCATTCCCAGAGTCACTGCATTCCAAAACATTTAGTGAACAGCTTCAATTAAATTACTGAGTGGCTCCCACTTTTTATAGGAGCTCCGGGTTTTGTCCTTTATTTTTTTGTTTAACTGAAAAGGCAAAATCAATCAATGGAACCAGACAATTTTCCAAGTAATTTTGGGCCATTCATTATGAATTTTACACACAATGTAAAGGGCAACAGGCATTTTCAAACTGTGCCAAAAACTGAAAAACAACAAAAATGGAGATACAAGATTTTCTTCCAACAGCAGCGATATACATATATATATATATATATATATATATATACATATATATATATATATATACACATATATACATATATATATATATAATACATATATATATACATATATATATATATATATATATACATATATACATATATATACATACATATATACATATATACATATGTGGCACTCACAGAGCCCTGACCTCAACCCCATCCAACATCTTTGGGTTAAACTAGAACAGAGATTTTTTTTTTTGTTTTGTATTTTTTTCTCTATTATGCTAAGGCTAATACCCTAATATTAAGCTCTTAGTAAGTTTTGCCTTTTCAGTGAAACAAAACAAATAAAACAAAACCTGTAATGTGTGCAAGTCTGGTTCCAGATTTCTCCTGAATATCCATCCCATGGATTTGCTCATTTCCATCACCAGCACACTTGATTTAACATAATGAAGTAGTGATTTGTCAAATTAGGTACTGGATGATAACTACAAATAATACTGGGTTGCCATAAGGAAAAGTTTGGAAACCTGGTCAAACAAACACATACAAAAAATCAATACTTACTGCATTAATGTTATGGGTATTTATTGCAATATTAGTGTTTTCTGATAAACACTCACTTTTTAAATCACACACCTTTTAAAATCTCATTTTCTCAGTTGTCGATATATGAGAAATATGTATGACTCCACATCCTGACATTGTACAAAAACAAACCCGTGTGTGCAGACACTCACTCTTGGTGTCCAGTTGTGCAGCGTATTTGTTGAAGCCCCTCAGACACACAGTGTCCCCCAGGAGCTTCAGGAATTCAGTAAAAGCAGGTGTGGCCTCCTCGTTATTATACATCTCCTCTTCTGTACTCTGATCCGCCCGACACAGCAGGATCCCCACTTTATGCTTCTGACTCAACTGCCGAGGCCACACACACACACACACACACACAGACACACACAGACACACACACACACACACACACACACACACACACACAGACACACACAGACACACATACATAGGACATTAGAATACAATACACAATAGAATACAACAGAATACAATAAAAAAGCAACAACACTAATGTAGCTAATAAATAATAGAATTTTATTTCCCACAAATTAGCATTAAGCTAACTACATGCTTAACTCAGCACACACTTGGACACGTATTGATTGCTTATATTTGTGGTAAGGTGTGTGTGTGGGGGGGTGTATATTTGACTTTTTGCCAGACTCTTCCTTTAACCCCATAAAAAAGTTTAATCACAAACCTCCAACTCTAAAAAACCCATTAGCCCGTCCCCTTCAAACATAAACAAAGAGATAAACATAAATAACATCTCAAACAACAGGACACCAGGTTCTATACAGCAACAAAAAGGGTTCTTCTATTATTACAAGCTTGATATTGTACCAATAGAACACTTTTTGGTGCTATACAGAACCATTTTCAAAAAGGTTCTATATAGAATCACATACAACACATTCTCCATCAATCTGAAGAACACTTTCACCATGCAAAGGGTTCTTTGAGTGGCACTGGTTCTATATAGAACCTTTTCTCGACTAAAGAACCCTCGAAGAACCATCATTTTTAAGTGTGTGGATAACTTAAGAAATATAAGCCAAGTGAAATCAGAAGGAATAATCTTTATATTCTCTTAACTGGCATCCATGTTGTTACAGAATGATGAAAAAATGTGCTGTTATCATATATAATAACATGGAAAGAAAGCTTTCCAATCAATCAGACTGTGTAACCAGAATTAACCGTTGCTTAAATTACAATAGACCAGTGGAGTCGTGTCGTCATTTTGGAGCCATGCTCTTATGCCCATATTAGGAACTCCGGGTCTAAGCTTCATTTCTCTATGGCCAGAATGAAACGTATCGGGTTCTGAACATTTTTATTTAACACAGGGTTTGATTTAGGCGATTTTTTGAAAGCCCTATTCATTCTGGCCATAGAGAAAAGGAGCTCAGACCCGGAGTTCCTAATATGGGCATAACGAGGACTACAGAATGGCGCACGACTACAGTGGTCTATGACATTTGTGCTGTAATCTGAGGCGTCTCTCACCCCTTGTTCATCCAGTTTGAGAAGCTGCTCAGTGACTTTAGGGGTGCTGAGAGCGAGCCGCAGGCAGGACACACTCAGCTCGGGCAGGACGTACTCCAGCACCTCCTTCAGGGGTAAACCCCGAACCGTCCCGTGGCGAGTTGTGGAAGGGACAGCGTCCTCCAGCACAGCACCTCGCAACGTCACCAACTACAGAGAGAGGCAATTTGATATACAGGTCAAAATGCAGCTCAACAGAGAAAAACTAGAAGGGGACAGTTTGTGAACAAACAGCCAGTAATGCTGGAAAAGTTACAGCAGTTACAGAACAAAGTTGACACTAAATGTCATAATTCCAGGTAGTTGCTATGGCACTGTTATAGTTATAGTATTCCAGCTAGTTGTTAGGCCACTGCTTGGTGGTCGTTAGGTTATTGCAGTTGCTATGGTAACCCAGGTCATTGCTAAGGTGTTGCACGGCCAATGCTATGCTATGCTATCCCAGGGGATTGCTGAGGTGTTGCTGGCATACTTGTTTGATGGTGACAAAACAGCAATTTGGTTGACTATGGTGGAATAAGAGGTAGAGGTACATAGAAATCATATGTATATGTATAAACATGGAATAATAATAAGAAGAAAGTAAAGAACATAAAGTTACATTTTTAAGCCAATTGAAATAATTAGGAAAATGTGAGGATACACGAAAAGGGCATTCAATAAAATTATAATTGAGTGGAAAAAATAAGAAACTAAAAATAATACAGATGACATAGTATATACATTATATATCTATAACTTTGTAAACGGTAACTTTACAAGACAGAAAAAAAAATCCTACCATTTCTACTTGTATATTAATGTAAATATATTTTTTCACAAATCATTTTTGACTATTTCTATTGGTCATCATGACATTTTCACACATGTAAAGGGCAGCTGGTAACTGGATATGTATAATACGTGATGAATAGACCAATAAATATAATACTGAATACAGTATATAAAGTATTCAGTCTACTGAATGACATATATAAGTATATATAAAATGAATTATAATTAATATCAATTACATGTTAGTATGATTTATTTGATAGACATAAACACATACTACAAAAATCTGAGCTGATTCTGATACTAAGTATTAATTACTAGTTTGTTTGTTTTTTTTTCAAACTTCATGTTTGCACAAAAGATGGACATTGAGAGACCCTCAGCAAGATGCTGAGGGGTCTGAGGAATCATCTAATTTCCGAAACACTTTAATGTTTTCGATTTTCTGGTAACACCGTTAATCACAGAGCGCACCACACACTTTCTATTAAATTTCAGGTGGTCATATGACGCATGATAGCTTTAGCCTGCAGCTTCCACTGTGTGGCATCATTTCACCACCAGAGCATCTTCAGCACTCTCACTCACTTACTCACTGCATAAATTTCACACGCTGGACAGCTCAGCTTTTTCCAGAAAACCCCACCTACTCCACTACACTGGAGCACAGCACCGTATGAATGAGAGAGTGAAGCTAAAACACGCTGCTCTGGGACTGAAACAGCAGGGCTTTGGCTGATTTCCTGCATTGTTGTGGTTTTCGATACCATGTGCTGGGTCACATGGACAGTCACACTCCTCTAACCCTAAAGCCCCGCAGTGCCTTTCTGATCTCTGATGAGCATTTAGAGCTTTAACTTCAAAGCAGGTTCTGCTGTGACACAGCACAGAGAGGGATGAGAGAGTCTAGAAGACAGTGTGTGGCTGTAGCTGCAGACAGGCTGGGAATGATAGCGTAAACTCTGTATGTTTGTGTATAGACAGTACACACACATATATGCATATAGATAGCATATACATGCATACACTACCATTCAAAAGTCTGGACTTTTCAATCATATAAAACTAGTCTGGTTGCAGGTAAGTATATAAAATCGTTCTATTATGCTGGTGCTAGGATGCTGTAAATTGAAATAAAGAAATGTTAGATGTGTCCACAATAATGACCACAGCTGTAGATGATTCTAAATCGAGTGAAAATGCAAAGTTATAATGAAATTAATATCCATCATAATACATTAAAATGAAATTAATATCCATAATTCATTGTATTTTAAAACTGTGGTTCAAACTTAAAACATTAAATATTTTAAGATACCTAATTTATAATATTTTAAATCCACTACGTATAAAATTTACTACAGTTATACTGAACTTCTGAACAGTAACACGGAGAACATACTTCTGCTTATTTTAATGCAATTACCGGTTATTTGAGGGAAAAAACAAAGCATAAAATGTGGCTTTTGTAAAAGTCATGCTATTTTTTATATTTTTTGTTTTCCAATATGTTGCACTCAGCAAATAAATAGAACTGTGCATTAAAAATGACAGATAAATGCCACGATTAATTGTGTTCCCTGTAGACGGTAAGGCATTTCCACTTAGAACACCAACAAAACGTAATCTGACAAGGGGTGCTCAAATGTTTGTGTACAAATGTATACGTATGTATATATGTAACACCTATTTTCTGAAATCAAGCGAACTTTGAGTTTTAATAAAAATATTATTTTACAAGTGTACAGCTGTTCAAAGCTGTGTTGGCTAGTCATGCGCTGGCTAGCATTTTTGAGTTCTGTTCAAAATGAGCTAAAATGGTCAGTACTGTAAAATTTGGTCAAGTTTTTGTAGTGCTATGATTGTTTTGGTAGTGATATAATGGAATGGATTATTTCAATAAAACTAGATATGCATTTCCCGAAGGAAGTACCAGTGCAAAGCGCTGCTTTAGCACAGCAAAAAATAAAAAAATGTGAAATCAATCAACTCACTCCAGCACTCCTGACTCCCAGCTCTGGTCTCATTAGCAGAATATGCAGAAACGTAATTATAGTCATTATTTTCTTTCATTCAAATTTGATTTAAAATATTGTGAGAATGTTGAATGATGAGGCCAGTATCAGACTGTATCAGACACACTGCAGACGATGGTAAATACTGTGTGTGTGAGTGTAGAAAGGGTCCTGAGAAAAAGGACATTGTTTTGTGTGTGTGTGTGTGTGTGTGTGTGTGTGTATGTGTGTCTGTCTTGTTCAGACAGACTGGAGATGAAGGCTCGTTGTGTGTGTGTGTGTGTGTGTGTGTGTGTGTGTGTGTGTGTGTGTGTGTGAACTGGAGCTGCTGTATTGTTCAGACAGGGTGAGTGTGATGTACCCAGGCAGCCATGTAATCCGGCTAAACCCAGTACAGCTCAGCACTTTTCACACACACAACACACAAGCCATTACCTCGCACAAAATACAGCACTAATAATCACCCATTCACAGATACGCGAGTCTGAATATTGTTCCCACCTCTTTCTGCAGGCCCCCTGGTGGCTGTTCCACCAGCAGAACGGATATCGACTCAGACATTGTTAATTAATATGATCATAGAAATATTTTCCCCATAACTCTTATCAGATTAACTAGGACACTGTTTTCTCTCTGTGTGTGAAACGCTGTGACTCTGTGTTGAGCTGCTAGTGAGCAATGAGGGGTGAAAGGGGAGGATTGAGAACCCTCTGCTGTGAAAACAATCCACACCTCTCCACAAAGATGGCCGTGCCGAGACAAAACGGTCAGCATGACTGCAACTGCAGCTTTCCTCATATACAAATATCGTGTGCAACCACCAGAATTAAAAATATATATTTATAAAAACTATAATACATAAAGACAAGAAAAACACATTTCCCCTCAAAGCAGATTATTATATTTTACAACTACTGTAAAAAGTGCTTTACCAGAATGTGAATGAATTTGCAGCTGCGCTAGGGGCCGTCTCAAATAGCCTTTCAGTAGAAGCCTCTTTTTATTTGGCCTAATCAAGTCACAGTGAGCAGAGACAACAATAAGCTCCAGTTTCAGCCTCAGAGAGGAGGATTAGAAGGGGGCTAAGGGAGGAAGCCTCCTTAATGTACCAGCAAATTCTTTCAAATTGAGTTTGAGGTAAACCCTGAGACTGAGCGCTGTTACATGCAATGTCTGTGCGGTCTGCATGTATGTGTGCTCCTGTATTTAGCTCTTTGTGAGGACCAAATGTCAGGTCTACAGTATCGGGTCTTATCAAGGGCTTTCTGCTGTTCCGAGGACAAAACTGAAGCGAAAGGGGGAGGGACTATTCAGCTGCTGCTCGCGCCCTTAACTTTAAAACAGTCTTCCCATTGACATTAGACTCTCCGACTCAATGGCCACTTTTAAAGGGGAATTCCACCGATTTATCACATTTTTTGCATAATTCCATTGTTGCGATGTAAACAAATTTATTCTAAGTGGTTTGATGTGAAAGTGGTTTGCTGTAGAGAAACTTACACTCAGATTTCTTTACAGTGGTGGTGATGGGAACCAGGGGTCGCAATGTCCACAACACAAATACAGCTGTTTTATTTACTATCCAAAACCACCAGTGAACCTACACATGAACGTGTCTTCTGCATTGTTATATGTAATGTTGATGATGGTAAAATGGTGGAAAATCTGAAAAATAATTTTTCTTTTGGAACTTTTTAGCCTTACAATACCCTGCATGTACCCCTCCATCATAAATAGATTAGAATAAATGGATTAACAAGGCCAAAACTTTATCTCAAAAGTATCATAAAACAATGTTTCAGGTATCAGGCAAGGTATAACCATTTCATGTAATAACTTTCTGTGAAGGAGCTTTCAGAAGCAGTAAACTCTTCAGACGTCTGGTTCCTATCACTATCACTGAACAATTCTGACTCAGTAAGTTTCTCTAGAACGGAGCATTTCACACCAAACCACTCTGAATGACTTTGTTCACATCTCAACCACTTAATTGAAAATTTGGTGGAGTTCCCCTTTAAGAGATGGCTTAATTGACTAATTTTTATTTATTATGTTTTTGCTTCAATGTCACGTTTACTGTGTTTGTAACCTTTGCACTTTGTAGCCTTGTTTTATAAAAGTGCTATATAATTAAACTTTACTAAAATAATCATAATGACAGGAAAGCACAAAAAAAGTGTAGATGTAAGGACATTTTGCTGGTCCTTATTATAAAACAGGCTGTTTTCATCACAAATGCAATTTCATTTTGGAAAAAGTTAAAAGAGCTAAAAGTTACTGAGGTTAAATTAAGGTAAGAGTTAGGCGGAGCACTATTTGGCAACAGTATTACTCTATTATTTAGTAATACAGCTGCGGATGTGAGTGTGTCTGTGATCTGTACAGGATACTGATGGCCTCGTCTGCAGTGTGTATGCTGATTCAGCCCAGTCTGGTCCAGTCAGTTCATACTTCATGCTTGTGCTTGTGTGTGGTACTGGCAATTACAAAGTCTTGACCAATGCAATGCATGAAAAATACACAAAAAACACTCATAGTGACCACTGGAACAGGGAGGAACACATTCTGTAATATTTCTCATTTCTCCCAGCATGAGTAATAAAACAGAATACTATTTTATATTGACTAATAATTACTGTTCCTTTAGTGTTTTGTAATAGGCGTGAGAAATATTCAGTCTTCATGCTACAGCAGTACTGCATAGTCACACAGTAATAAGAGTAATGTAAACCCTGTGTTGTTATTAGTTGATTTTGAACAGTAGCTTTTTTATTATTTATAGCAAAACTGGCACAGTCACCCATCACTTCATCCGCATTTTCACTGTGGAGTTGTCTAGTATTATAAGTCCTGGGGAGAAGGGAGGTAAACCCACCTTCTTTCTGAAGGTATCCTGAAGTCATAAACCAAATAATGCACTGTTTACAAGTTTCATATCATTCTTATGCCAAGAAAAACTGCTAAAAATGGAATAGCGGCGTCCCTAAACCTCAACACTCATTAAGATTGCACAGATCTATGAATATGCACGATTATATAAATTGTTAATATCCTTGTTGAACTGCTGGCAGTTTAGCCTTCTCGCTAAGCTAAAATTAGCCTCTGTTGCTAACACAGGTAACAATTAAATGTATCTTAAGCTAACAGCTTTTCACACAAAAGCACAGATTTACTTGTTCAGATTTGAGTCTTTATTGTCTGAAGTTGTGTCAGTGAGGCTTCAGTGAGCCAAAATGAACCCGCGTGGTTTTATGTAAAGGCCTTGCTAAGCTAATGCTAGCTTCTAGCGAATGCAGAGCAAAAGTGGTTCAAGCTAACAGCTCCTCACTCAAACACACAGGTTTAGCTGCTTAGATTTGGGTCTTTATTCCCTAAACTTGTGTCAGTGAAGTCTCAGTGAGCCAGAATGAACCTGTGTAGTACGTTAAGCTTAGGCCTTCTTGCTAAGCTATTTCTAGTGTCTAGTAAACAAGGAGCAAAAGTAGCTTAAACAGCTCCATACACAGCTTTACCTGCTCAGGCTGGAGTGTTTACGCTGAAAACTTGAGAGTGAGGCTTCAATGAGCTGAAATGAGCCTGTAAAGCGTTCTTGCTAAGCTAACGCTAAGCTTTTAGTGAACGTGGTCGAACATGGAGCAAAAGTGGCGCAGGCTAACAGCTATACACACAAATACACACGTTTAGCTGCTCAGATTTGGGTCTTTATTCTCTGAACTTGCCTAAGGGAGGTGTCAGTGACCCCTTAGTGAATCTGTGCTGTAGAGAAATGGTAGCATGCTACCTGCTACTAGAACAGTGTCAGGCGCCGTGTGGCACGTCTTGTGAGGCGGCCGTCAGACCACACCTAACATTCGACCCCAGTTGCGTTGCCATTGGACATGATGGCTGAGACACCGAGGGTCAAACAACAGGTTGTCTCTCTCTCCCTCTTGGCTCTGGTGCTCGTGCTGGCCATAACAGGAGCCAGTGGACACTGGTTTGCATTCGGCAGTGTAGGCAGAGTCGGTTTATGAGAAGTCTGGCCTCTTCCTATTTCCCCCGTTATATCAAAAACAGGAATGCTAAACAGCAGAGGGCGCCCACGAGCGAGTCCTCAATGAAGGAGGGTAAATGGAGCTAAACGGCTAAAAACAGCAAAGAAATCTTACCTGTATGTTTCCTACAGCAAACAGGTTTTTTGCACTAGTGTTACCACTAGTGAATGCTGATTGGTTGGCGAGCGGAGCAGCTCATTGGCTGTTCGTGCTCACTGCCATCATGAACATACATGAGGCACCGTTTTAAACTCCTATAACTCGAGTTTAAAAGCACTTAAAATATAACAGCGGTGTTAAAATGTTTTATACTATTCAGTGTTCAGGAGATGAATGGATTCTTTACATTAAAAATGTTTAAGTATTTATAAACTATGATTAATTGACCCATTCCTTTTGGACTTGCTTGGGAGCGTTTGAGAAACCCGTAAGACATTACAGAGTGACAATTCTCCTCTCTACAAGTTCTCTGGTTCAGGCTTGTGCTGCTTCTCACATCTCTCTTTGGCGCCTGCCACATCCTCTCATTAGCATATTTTAGTATAATGGACTGGGACGGTTTCAAGCTCATTCGTGACGTACGAAACTAACTAGCGCCCTACAAATCACTTTTTTCAGGCGCACTGAGAAATTTCAACTGGATGAAAAGCTTCTGCTGTGTGAACAGCCTTGTTTTTATCAAAGAATCTTTTATATTTTTAACATGTTTTTGCCACAGAACTCAAAACAACAGTAAAAGAAGTGCACCTGTCAATGCAGAACGGCAAAAGTCAAATTTAAATCCAAAGTAAATCCTTATGTAACTGACTGTAAGTAATTATGTGATTATGTAATTACATTTAAACAGCTATGCAATGTAAATAAAATGTAACATGTAGGAAACGTAGCAAAATGACAATAGTAACTCTATACTTCTAAGGGTTAAGGAACAATTCGCCGCTGTACAAGTCGAAACTCTGCAGGTGCAGTCGCATTGTCCTGAAGCTGAGAAGAGAGAGGAGAGCTAAAGTCGCTGGTGGCAAGGACAGCTGCAGAGAGCAAGGTTACACTGCAGCAGTCAAAGCAAAAGGGAAAACAACCTGATCACTTCTCACGTCTCCTCTCTTTTGCCACCTACAAATGTATGTAGACTACAATGTATATAGAATACAATTCTTAGCCGACAAAGTCAGTTTTTGGCAACGTTGTTTATGAGGAAAATTAACTCAGCCTCTTTTGAGTGTTTCTGATTTCAACCTTTCATGGAAATCACAGTCAGTAATCAAAAATATTCATCCTACTAGAGTAAACTGGGTGGAAATAGGTGGGGTTGATGCAACAGACACACCCACAATCAAAAGACTGGGCTTTCTTTTTTCTTGCTTATGAATTATTGAGGGATGTTTTGGGTTTAATTTGCTAGAAGGCACAGCAGGTGTGGTGAAAATTCAGTCTGAATCAATTGGTGTACAATTAAATGTGTATATATATATATATATATATATATATATATATATACACACACACACACACACAGATGTATGTATTACACACAAACAGATGTCTCTCATACACACCTCACTGGTGCGGAAGATGATGCGGTACTGGTATTGGTCCTTCAGATCTTTGGTGTCGTCCAGTTTCTCTCGACGGATACTCAGTGCCACTGACCCCAACTTCTCATCTGACCCAAAGTAGTTCCAGTGCTCTGCAGAGAGAGAGAGAGAGAGCGTGAGGAGTGAGAGAGATATATTAATATATTAAAGAGACAAAGAGAAAGAGATAAAGAAGGATGTGATGAACAAAGCAAAGTAATTAAAAGGTCAGTTGAGCAAGAAGAAACAGGACGCAAATGAAGAACAAAGGAACCAAAATTGAGGAAAATGGAAATGGAGTGAGAAATGGAGAGAATGACAAAATGAGAGAGAGGAAAGGACAGGGAGGAGGGAGAGAAAGAGAGAGAGAGAGAGAGAGAGAGAGAGAGAGAGAGAGAGAGAGAGAGAGAGAGAGAGAGAGAGAGAGAGAGAGATTAGTAAAGAGCAACTTTAAACTTGAGAAGGTCATGTTTGGTTGAATTCCATCAGTTAATGTCCGGCCGGCTCCTGCAGACGCTGAGAGCTTCCAGACCAATACGGCACTGTTGACAAAGCTCTCGACACAGGAGCCTCACACACTCTGACCTTAAGTGGCCTCGCACACATACAGCTAGACAGAGGATGCAGTAAAGTGAAGGAGCTTCTTTCTACAACTCAATATGTGCTTCAGGTCAAAGTAATGCTGATTGGTATTTATTTAATTATTCATCATCACTGTCAAGAGAAAACCACGCCTCTCCAAAACGATATGAAAATAAAGAGAATAACAAAAATGTTAATGTAACAATATTGTGTATGTTTCATGATATTTTATTCCACACAGTTTTGGACCATTTCTGCTAAAAGTGTGCAGAGAGGGGTCAGAGCTTATGTTATGAGCATACCCAGATTCGAATGGTAATAAATTCTAGCCGTTGCCCACGTCAGCTAGTATTTTGCGTGAGTGATTTTGAGTGATGGGGGAGAGGGAGGACCATCCTACCCACCCAGAGGGGAGAGAGAGAGGACAATTATGCTCTCTTAAACTCTCAGCCACGGATGGCTGTGGCATCACCAGGGATCAAACTCACAACGTCTCGATAATAGAGCCAATGCTTAGACCAGGGGCCACAATCCAAATGTTAAGAAGAGCCATTTTGTCCTTTCAACGCAAATCAATCCACCTTGGGAGCCACAACATTTTATATCTATTTTACTGAAGTAATGTTTTTCAAGCTTGGTTGAAAATATGTGCTAGCTAATGTCCTAGTGTAGACTAAATAATACAAACAAACACGCAGACTTACTTTGCTTTGCTTTAAGCTTTTAGCTGCTTTTTCGCATCTCTGGCAGGAAACTTTTCCTCAAAAGTGGAACAGTTTCCAGTAAAATGTCTCTCAACATTCAACTTTTTACGAGGCTGAAGTCGCTTCTCATTCACCAGCTTCTTATTCAAATTTTTTTGGGAAAAAAATGAACAAGAAAAAAATGACATAGCTTTGCGACTTTTTAGTGTTTGAGTTTCTCGTTGCAGATTAAATGCATCAGGAAACCAACTGGAGTGATTATAAATGCAAAGAAGTCCATTCATCACCAAATTACTGTGCACAATCCTATTCGACCCGCAAAATTATTTTATTTTAATTATTATAATTAATTATTTTATTTCACCATGAACTGCACTACAGCTCCCAGCATGCCCTGCAATGTAATATGTGCTCCCACCCCCTCCCCAAAAACGATCTATGGGACATCACCACAAAAACAAAACCAAAAAAGATGCCAGGTGTCTGGTTCAAGCAAATGGGCAGTTTTAAAACACTGGGGACATTTAAGAGGTTTAACAGTATCTGCAGCTAATGTGGTCTGTAGTTTTATATAAAACAATTTGTCTTTTTTTTTTAATCGTTCAAGGATTCAGTGCTTATTTTTGCCGCTGTAGTTTTGGCATATTTTGAACAAACAATGGCCAGTTGGGGTTATGGCAAAATGTTAAATAAAAACAAAATAAAAACACAGCTGGCCCATGGATTTGTTGAGATTTTTAAATATGGCCCTTTTAGAGGTTGAGGTGGCGTAACTTGTGGCATAACTTCTCTGATGGCAGATTCAAATGCTTATTTGTTCTCTGCATCTACATTATAAATCTACACCAATACAAAACTCAACCCATGCCTGTGTATCTAATGAGCACATAATGTATTGGTGAATAAAGTGTTTTCTTACTCAGATTTACTTCCCAGTGTCCTAAATGTCATTGGCAAATCCGCCATCTTTCATCCTGCATTTCTAGTTCAGGATATGAGTCCTGCGAATTAGTAAGAAGTATTGAAACAGCAGGAAATGTGAGTGGAGTGAGTCTATGGAGTGGGCAGATAAAGGATTCTTCATTAAGCCAGAGGACATGAAGGAGACTGTATTCCTTAGACTACATGGCACCAAACCACTACACACTGTACGTGGCACCAAGCAGAGATAAGTTAGTACCACTGTATGGCTGACACATGCACACAATCACAAACCAAACACACATCTCAGCTGACTAACAGGGTGAAACACTTCATTATCTAGAACAGGTGCGGCTATGTTGGGTCATTAAGCAAATACAAACAAGAGAACTTCTCCAGTTGGTACGAATCCTTACGTAGGCTTACAACCACGGGCTAAAATATTCAGAGGTTAATTTTAAAAAACAATTTATAATTAGGAATGATCTTAAATGTGATGCTACATTAGCATTTCACCCAAAGTTAAAGCACTTGAGCTATAAGGCTAATGTGGCTAACAGGTAATGAAAGCTAATACTCCACAAATTAGCACAGCTTGGCACTGTATGACAAACTGTTATCTATAAACACTGACAGAGGTACGACACACAGCCCAAACAGTAGTAGCAGCCACGTTGAAGCCTGAATTTTTTCTGTACTTTTGACTATTTTTATAAAATAGTTATGCAGCTAACTCTCTTCCATTACTTGTTAGCCACATTAGCTTTGTAGCTTCATTATCTAGAACAGGTGCGGCTACACTGGGTTATTACCGTTGGTACGAATCCTTATGCAGGTTTTCAACCACAGGCTTTATATTTAAAAGTTTAAAAAACAATTTATAATTAGGAATGATCTTAAACGTGATACTTCATCAGTATTTCGCCCAAAGTTAAAGCATTCTTTAGTTTTGCACTGGAGTTATAAGGCTAATGTGGCTAACAGATACACACACACACACACACACACACACACATCATCTAAACCGCTTATCCTACTGGGTCACGGTGGGGTGCTGGAGCCTATCCCAGCTGTCATTGGGTGGAAGGCAGGATACACCCTGGACAGGTCGCCAGTCCATCGCAGGGCAGACAGACAGACATACATACACAATCACACACACATTCACACCTAGGGGCAATTTAGCGCGTCCAATCAGCCTAATTGCATGTTTTTGGACTGTGGGAGGAAACCGGAGAACCTGGAGGAAACCCACGCAGACATGGGGAGAACAGGCAAACTCCACACAGAAATGACCCTGGTCACCTGGCCGGGATTCGAACCCAGGCCATTCTTGTACCTTTGTCGGTGTTTATAGATAATAGTATGTCATACAGTGTCAAGCTATGCTATGCTAATTTGTGAAATATTAGCTTTCATTATCTGTTGCTGTGGAAGAATCTGTTACCATTCTTGCTGTGAGGCGACAGCGCTACCCAACGCGCCGCCGGCTAACATATAATGAAAGCTAATATTTCACAAATTAGCATAGCATAGCTTGACACTGTATGACGTACTATTATCTATAAACACCGACAGAGGTACGACACACAGGTACGACAAACAGTAGGAGCAGCCATGATGAAACCTGAACTTTGTCGGTACTTTTTACCACTTTCATTAAATCGTTTTGAAGCTAGCCACAATAGCATTGTAGCTCCATTATCTAGAACAGGTGCAGCTACACTGGGTCATTAAGCAAATACAAACAGGAGAACTTCTCCAGCTGGTACGAATCCTTATGCAGGTTGTCAACCACAGGTTAAAAGATCGAAAGGTTCATTTTTAACAATTTATAATTAAGAATGATCTTAAATGTGATACTTCATTCGTATTTCACCCAAATACCGAAGTCAAAGGATTCTTTAGTCTTGCACTGGAGCTATAAGGCTAATGTGGCTAACAGGTAATGAAAATGAAATATTCCACAAATTAGCAGAGCATAGCTTGGCACTGTATGACATACTGTTATCTATAAACACTGACAGAGGTACGACACACCGCCCAAACAGCAGTAGCAGCCATGTTGAAGCCTGAAATTTGTCTGTACTTTTGACTATTTTTATAAAATAGTTATGCAGCTAACTCTCTTCCATTACTTGTTAGCCACATTAGCTTTGTAGCTTCATTATCTAGAACAGGTGTGGCTACATTGGGTCATTAAGCAAATACTAACAGGAGAACTTCTCCAGAAGGTTTTCAATCACAAGCTAAAATATTAAAAATTACGTTTTTAACAATTAATAATTAAGAATGATCTGTGATACTTCATTCGTATTTCACCCAAATACTAAAGTTACAGCATTCTTTTGTCTTGCACTGGAGCTATAAGGCTAGCATGGCTAACAGGTAATGAAAGCTCATACTCTATAAATTAGCATAGCATAGCTCAACACTGTATGACCTACCGTTGTCTATAAACACTGACAAAGGTACGACACACAGCTAAAACAGTAATAGCTGCCTTATTAAAGCCTGAATTTTGTCTGTACATTTTACCATTTTCACAATATAGTTATGCAGCTAACTCTCTTCCACTACTTGTTAGCCACATTAGCTTTGTAGCTTCATTATCTAGAACAGGAGCGCGCACATTAGGTCATTAAGCAAATACAAACAGGAGAACTTCTCCAGTTGGTACGAATCCTTACGCAGGTTTTCAACCACAGGCTTTATATTTAAAATTTAATTTTTAACAATTTATAATTAAGAATGATCTTAAATGTGATACTTCATTCGTATTTCACCCAAATACCAAAGTTACAGCATTCTTTAGTTTTGCACTCGAGCTAAAAGGCTAATGTAGCTAACAGATAATGAAAGCTCATACTCTACAAATTAGCATAGCATAGCTTGACACTGTATGACCTACTGTTATCTATAAACACTGACAGAGGTACTTTACACAGCTAAAACAGTAAAACGCAGCCATGCTGAAGCCTGAAATTTGTCTATACTTTGACCATTTTCATAGAACAGTTACGAAGCCTGCTCTCTTCCATTACTTGCTAGCCACGTTAACCTTGTAGCTCCAGTGCAAAGCAGCCAACTTCAGGCCACAAACACACAGAGACAACTTGTGTACATTTGATTTCTCATCAAACCTTTCCTTTAAAAATAGCTGCAAGTTGCTGTCTCTCATCGGCACGTCCTTCCTGTAAATGTCCACACATTTTCATGGCACACAGCCCAGGCAACAGAGGCTAAAGGCCCTAACAGTACAACATGCAGCAGAGATGTATTTCTGGAATGTTAACCATTATATCCACCGACTCCTCGCCCGATAAACACCGGCAACTAATTAGGAGCGAGACGTTCAGAGAAATCTGCATCAGCATGGCTCTGGCTAGTGTAGCTGAAAGGTGACAATTAAGTTATATTTAGAGCTTGTGGTCGGGAGAGGGGAAGTTTACACCACTGGCATTTAGAGAAGCAAGACCTTTAGATGGATTAACATTTGGGAGGCAGATGTATGCCATGTTTGGGAGCATGTCTCAAATTGCTGTGTGGCTGCAAGTTGATGGCAGATGCTATTGACCAAGACAACCTTAAAGGGTCATTCTGCCCTAAAACTAGCATTTAATATGTTCCTTTGTTGTGTCATGTAGTATTATGTAGCACAGCCCTGCAACCCTCAACCTCAACAGTTTGACAGAACTTTATATCTTTCTGGTGTCTCTGTCCATCAGTGTTCTCTCACTACAATACCCAGTAAGCATTACAGTTTATGATGCAAACACAACAGACAACTGCTGGGAATTCCTACAATCCATTCATGTAGAGGCTGTTAAGCACAAGACTTCATATTCGGCTTCTTAGCAGTACCATCAACTATTTGACTTCCTTCTGCATTAGACCCAAAAAACAACTACATCAAAAACATTTCTAATAGCCTGCCCTCACGTAAGCCTCCCGAAGTGCTTGTAGTTCCTCCCACCTTCAAAGACACATCATCAGAAGGGTGTTTGCTAGTCTTTAGACTGAAAAACTCACTCTTAAGACTACCGTGGCACTGCCGCGTAAGGTGAGCAGGCATGTTTCCTTTTGGCCGGAGTGCCCCTTTGTAGAGTAAGGCCCAATCCAACTTCACCCCTTGCCCCTACCACTTAGCCCTTAGCCCTCCGTTTTGCGTGTTCACGGCTAGGGGTAGGGTGTTCCGATTTTTCTTAAGATAGAGCGGTAAGGGCGAAGTGTTAGGGCTACATGGCCCTCCAAACGGAGGTTTTTCAGAGGCACACTCCAAACAAAGTGTAGTGGTTGCGCAACGACCAAAGAAACCCACAAATGTGAGTATTTTTTCCATTAAAAAATAACAATAACTATTCTTTTATCTTAGTTTAATGTCGTTTCAAAGTGTTATGATCCTGTTCTTCATAACAAGCATTAAAATCACCAATAGTATGCTGATGCCTCGGTAGCTAGCTAACTTTCCCATTCCACCTTAAATAGTCCAGCAGTTCTGACGCCTGAAGCGCCAGAATGTAACTGCTGCACCATTTAAGGTGGAACAGAGAAATCTGAACAAGAAGCTGGCAAATAGCTGACTTCAGCTTCATGTTACTAAAGAATTAGAGGTGGGCGATAATAAATAATTGTCGCATCCCTCCTTTTTGAAAGCATACGATGCCCTTAATGTAACTAAAGCCCAGCAGTGAGGAGCTGAACTTTACCCTACTCTGCTATCACTGCAGGCTGGCAGGGTCACCTATAGAGCAGTGCTAGTAGCTGTTAATGAAGTAATATTCTTTTTTATTTGAGGGTTGTCTCGTTTCAGAGGGAAGATTTTAATCACTACCTCTTGTATCTCAGTTTTAAGGGGCAAGGTGACACTCGAAAACAAGGGGTAGGGGTAAAAATAAGAAATGAGATTGGGCCTATGTTTCCTAAAAGTAAACTGCAAATGGAAACTGAACTGGATTAACACAATTATAATTTGTTGAAAGGACAAAAACTGACAAAATTCAGGCTTCAGCTACTGCTACTACTGGTTTTAGCTACATGCCCTGCTTTTCTTCCTGTTTATAGATAATGCCATTCAGTGTTAGAAACCACACAAGCAAGTCTATTAGGGATTACTTAAACTATATAAGTTTTGGGGATTTGGAGACCTCTCTGGTGGAAATGTGTAATTGCATGCAATGTGCAGAAGAATGTTTTGCAATGTCGTTTTTAACAATTTGACCCAGCTGGAGTCAACAGTGCGATGATTTAGGCAAGCAGTTAGCATAATGCTTATTGGTGGGCAATAAGCTTACTTTTTAGCTACTTTGGCGCTGTAGTTCCAGTACAAAACTAAAGAAGCAAACTTAAGAAACATGTCTTGGCTGATCACCTGCATTTAGGGTAGAGGTTGAAAAGGGAGATTTGATTTTTCTCTGTAACTCATCTCTTTGAGAAGCAGCTTGTATTCTAAAGTATAATAATGAGAGATATCCATGCTACCTTTCCCATGGAAGTGTTTGCGGTAGTATCTGGCACCCAGGTCCACGTGCTCTATGCCGTGCTGCTGTAGTCTCTCCAGCCGTGTAGCTTGCTCCTCTGGCTCCACCTCCAGTACAGATATGCTGGCATTGGAGCAGCGAGGCCTTAACCTGGCCTCAGCCCCGCCTGATTCCCCCCGCTCTGCCCAAGAGCTCAGGAAGCTCACGTTGCGCTCTCCGTAACTTCCAGTCTCGTTCAGGAAGTTGGGGCAGCTGAGCAGGAGTTGTTGCTGGGGGCCAGAGCTCAAGCTGGCCGGGTCAGAAACATCTGGGCCAGAAGTGCTGGACCCCTCTGTAAGGTCCCTGCAGCTCAGATCGTCCGTGCTGGAGAAGCTAGGCTCGGCCCCCCCTAGAGCCAAAGCCCGTGACACTGCTAGCGAAACAGCAGTGGCTGAGGAGGCAGCAGACGCCCCTGTGGCGGTGTTGCGCCTTTGGGCAGCAGAGCTGCGCTGGGCAGCTGCTTCATGTAGGTCAAACAAGATGCTCTGTGCATCGTAGTGTGCAAAGCTCCGTACACAAAGCCAAGGTTTGAGAGAAGATGTGTCCAGAGGTCGTCCCATGTCCTCAATGTCGCTCCGCGATGCCTCTGTGTCGCCCCGGTTGGCTCCTCGGAGCTTCCGGAAAAGAGATGAAGTGCCCAGGGATGATTCTGTGCCACCACTTTTCTTGCGGACGCGGCTTTCAGGCCGGTCTTCAGGTCGAGACGAGGTAAAGGCAATTTCGGGCGAGGCCCGGGAAACCTCGGGTGAGGTCTGGCCTCTTAGCAGCTCACCCAGCCTAGCAGGGGCGGCACTGCGTTGGTCCAGCCTCCTCTCCTGCTGGAACTGGCTTAGCATGTCGAAGAAGCTCTCCTCAGGCACAGCTTGCACATCTATGGACGAGGTGCTGCCATACTCACGGAACAGCAGGCGACTTTCGACCTCCGCCTCATCCTGCTCGCTCAGGGTGATCTCGCTGTTGGAGCGCTGCCGCAACGGGGCAAAACCTGGCATTCTGAACCGAGAAGGGGAACCCGGGATGTCTCTTAAGCTCCGCCCCCCATCCAGGAACTCTGCGTCCTTGCTGCGCCGCATGTGAGCCACACCCCCTCGATTCAACCCCGCCTCCCCATTGCTGCCACTCTCAGAGTTACCGTTTTCCAGCAATGACTCCCGGGACCGTTCCCTTCTCGGTGGCCAGTCTGCAATGCGTGCCCGGACCCCCATCTTGGGCACGGAAACGCGGGAGAGCGAGGGCTCAGCCGGGGAGGCGTGGCCATTGTGGAGTGGTAGGCGGGGGTGGACCGGGGGGAGGGGCTGAGAGAGTGGGCCAGAGTCTCTGTATATGTTCATGGTGCCCGGGGCAGTATTATCAGAGCCGGACAGTAGGAGAAGGGCAAGGGGTGCAGGCGAGAGGACATCTCGAGCTGGTGGGGGTAGAGGAGTGGGAGGAGAAGGCAGGGCGGGGCTCCACACTGTCGCTTCTTCCTCTGCCTCCTATGTACATGTCTTTCTTGGCCTGCCAAAACCGCAGGACTACTCCTTCCCTGACAGGCCTCAACCAATCACAGTGAAACGGCAATGGGCGCAGGAGACTCTTGGCATAGACCTGCAAAAAAGCACAGGGAGACACAGAATTTGGTAAAACATCCACTCAAAAGCACTCCAACAAGAATAGAATACTTATGTATCTGCATTTTGTTGCTGGATAAGAAAACACTAAACTAAATTTTGTCTTTTTTTTAAAAAAGGTCGGTTGCCCTTCACATTGTGAAACCATTTCAGGACAAATGGACCAATAGCAATTCCACACTAAGATTTAAACTAAGAACATACTTTCCTTCCCATATAACATTTCAGAAATATGAGGTTTTCTTACAACAGTGACAATTTGCATACTACTGCACTGACCCACTTATCACTGTCAAAGACTGATGAAACAATCTGCACCAGAAATTAAAAGCAAAAATAATAGCATTCACTGAAGTCTCTCTTTAAATCAGCTTTTTTTTTACTGGCACAAAGCTCCGGTTTAATGAGAAACTGGCCCTACAATTTAGAAAAAAAGTAGATTCAGTGAAAGAAAGAATGACACAGAGAGAAGAGAGATATAAAAAGCGAAAATGGAGCACAGGAAACCTGCTAGGAGTGAGTAAAGGAACATAAGGGATTCTGAGTAAGGATTTCTCTCACGTATTCAGGCTAATCTCGATTCCTCTCGCCTGGCACAGATACCATTATCTCTAAAAGCATTACAGCCACATGGTCCAGTCTACAGGGCATATCTCCCTTCTCTTGCTCTCTATGTTAGACCACACTAAGACCAACAATTACAGGCAAAGACCCACACCATCTTTGCCTCAGAGCAGATGGCGAATGAAAAGCATCCGTAGGTGTGTTGTGTTGTGTGAATGTCAGCAGTTTTGATCCTTAATACTTTTATCCCCAAGTATATGAAGCTAGGAATCACACACATTCAGTGGCTGTGAAGAGAGGACGTTAGAAATCTTTAAAAGTGCCCTCTTAAGTGCCGTTCTGCTGACCGACAGGTGCAGTGGCCGTCCAGGGGCCTCGTCCTCAGCCCACCGGTTGCTAAGAGCAACAGGGGTTAGGAATGCAGCCCCTGAAAACCCGCCCTCGTCCCATCACTCTGGTGAGGCATGCAGAGGTGCCGACAGATTTAGCACCCACGAAAAGGAGAACCCTGGTCATGTGACCATGGAGCTCACACGTTAGCAATCCGGTCAGCAGGGCACTGGGCCAAAGCACCTGCGGGTCTGACCGTTAGCTGGCTAAATCTAAAGCCAGATTGCCAGATTAGCAGCCAGAACAGTAATGCTGTAAAATACATGTCAGGGACATCATTGCTGCAACACTACAGTGTACTGTAGGCCTCAGGCAAGGGTTAAAATGTGCCAGAAGAATTCAGAATGGCATTCCGACACCCTCTTGGTAACTTTAAAGGGGAAAAATGTTTACCACCGCTTACAGCTACTTTGCAGCCGCAATATATATATCAGTATAATTACAATATGGTGCACTTTGGTGTGACCCTACCACCTATTTGGTTGGACCTGCAGCATGAATCAACTGAAGCATTAACCATATTTGCTGCTGGTACATCACAAAGAAGGACCAGTCATGCTTCAAAGGAAAAATAAAGAACCAATCATACTTGGAAATATAAGGTGCACAAAAATCACATGAAATCATCTTGATTTTAACTGCAGCAGTGAGTTAGAAGTCCACCTGACTGAACATTTATTAATATTTAGTGATTTTAGCAATATAATCTCACTTATCCATTACAATGTCCATATATGTCTATTAGCTTCAATGTAAATGGACCCAGTTAGCTAGCTAGTTGGGTTGGTACATGCATGGTATGAGCTAAGTTATGATGATGATCTTGCTAAGTAAGTCAATTTCTTAGTAGAGAGGATGTGCATCAGAACTTCTGCAGTAGAGAGGATGTGCATCAGAACTTCTGCAGTAGAGAGGATGTGCGTCAGAATTTAGATGTTATAATATATAATATAATAAAACTTCCAAGAGAATTTCTTTAACTTAGCCCAAAGTGTGATTTACTAGCTAGCATGTGTGTGGTGTAGAACTGGTGAGTAGTTAGCTAACTAAGCTAACTTTAGAAAACAGGATAGGGTTCACATTAACACCTTTTTAAACACTTCAGTTTTTCGCGAAGTACTTTTTCCATTTGCTTTCAGTGGGAGGACGACAGCGTTTTGGTTTACCAAGCATTTTGCTCGCTAGGCACCCTGCATGGCTGTCTTTTGTGCGGAGAGCTCCAGGTGCTCTGAGTCGAAAAATGTTCGGTCTGAACCAGTTTAGCTGCTACATCATAAGCATTGTTCCTACTGATCAAGAAAGAAGGTGGATTTGACAGCTGAAATGGTGGTGGTTTACCAGTGGCAACAAGCTACAGGTCCACAGACCATGGCCCGCACTGGCTTGACTGAAAAAGCCCCAGTTTGGACAGCAGTTGCTAGCAAGTCACACACACACACACACACACACACACACACATATACACACACACACACACACATTATCTAAGCCGCTTATCCATCTGGGTCACAGAGAATGCTAGAGCCTATCCCAGCAGTTACTTGGTGGAAGGCAGGAAACACCCTGGACAGGTTGCCAGCCCATCGCAAAACAGGCGATAGCAAGTTAGCCAGCTAAAATTGTAGTTAGGTTAATATTAGATTAATGTTGATTTCAGAGAAGGCCAACTAAGTACATAATTACAGAAAGAATATATTAAACCCCACCACTGATTTGTATGTTAGCTACACTACAAAAAATAGTATCTTGTCAAGTGAAATGATCTTATATCTAGTCTTAAATCTAATATTTCTTATTGTGTGTTTATTATTAGATTATCTAGTTTATTTTTAGACCTTTTTTTTTACCTGTTTTAAGCAATTTACTGTATGGCAGATAATTTTGCTGGTTTCAAGCACACTGACTTAAAAAAGCAAAATTATCTGCCACTATAATGAGATAATTTTACTTAATAAAGTCACTTCAAACAAGTAAAAAATGTTTGGAAATAAGTTAAATAATCTTAAAACAATCTCAACAGGAGAAATATTAGATTTATTGACTAGATTTAAGATAATTTTACTTGACAAGACACACTATTTTTCGCAGTGTAGCTAAACTAAACCTTAGGCTTTTATTTTGAAGAAACAATGTGTACTAGATAATGTGACTGGGGAACTAACTGATAAGCATACCCTTAATTGTTTTTTTTTACAGTAATGCCTCACCAACACTTAGCTCCAATCTGGTGCCTCACATATACACACACACACACATTTTTATATATATATATATATATATGGCCAGCCAAATGCTTGATTGCAGCTGGCTACTACTGGCCAGTGGCAGCCTTCAAACAATGCAGTGAAAAAGGAAAAAAAGGCAGCGCGCTTCACGTTTTCAGCTTTCAGAAAGAACTCCACTACTTTCCAAACTCCATGTTAGTCCCTGTGCTCAGCTCATGATCAGCCAGGCCCCCAGGGCAAGACTTAAATCATCTGACAGAGTAATAAGGACGTGACTCAGAGTCGAGATGTTGTAATGATTTGTACTGAGAAAGAAAGAAAAAAAAAAACGTTCGAGAGAATCTCTCATCTCTTTTTCACATGAAGATGATGATAAAGTGTCAAGTCACACAGGACATGAGAGAGGAAGAAGAGAGCTTGTAGATGGAAAAGAATTCAGAGAGAAGTGACATAGTAGGAGGAAGAGAGAGACAGTGTGAGATAAAAGAGAGAGAGAGAGAGAGAAAGAGAGAGAGAGAGAGAGAGAGAGAGAGAGAGAATGAATCACAGTGACGTGCTTTAATATTACAGTCAGATCGGATCAGGCCTCAGCACAGCTCCGGGACTATAAAAAGCTCACTCAGCATCAACTGTTCCCTCCACTTAACTTCTCTCTCTTTACTTTTCATCTTCCCTTTCAGCCTTTATCTCTTTCTTCTCCCTTCATCTGTCCATCTATTCATTAAAGTGCTCTGCGCAGGCATTTGTACTGCTGACTGAAAACAAGGTGGTAAAAAGATCTTACTGACAGATATACACCTCAGAAATCACTCATCTTCCTAATGATATATAAATATTTTGCTGTTTTCAGAACCAAACCTCGTGTCTCCACAATGGTAACTTTACAGAAGGAAAAAACATACTTGAGTTTTAATGGAAGTCAATGGAACCCGACTTTTTTCCAAGTAATTTTGGGCTATTTCTTATGTAAAAGGCAAGAGACATTTTCAAATTATAGCAAAAACTGAAAAATGGTATTGTTTTGTTCAGAGCAGCTATATCTTGGATTGCGATGGTAAGCCTACTTATTTTCCCAACATTAGCAGATATTAGAGCTTGAAATATTTGTCAGAACCAAATGGGACCCGACTCCGACTGCTCACGTTGGGTTAGGACATCATTTGCCCGAATGTTTGTCAGCCTCGGATTGGGTATAATGTTCACATCCTGGTTCTCACAGTCCGTCTCCCACTTTTAAAAGGCCCATATCATAATTTTTCTTGTATGTATTTTTTCCTGCAGGTTCACTTATAACATTTGTCATTTAATGTACAAAAACGGTCATAATTCATTTTTATGTGAATGTTTTCCGAGCTCTCTTTATTCCTCAGAATTGAGCACACTGCTCTCATGACATCACAGAAACATTTCATTCAAAATAGACATTACTTCATTTGAAAAAAGCAAGGGAAATCTGGTTTTCCATCAGATTTTGATCTGCATTTTCCTTTTCTTTAGTATTTTTCTTTTCACTTTATTCTTCCCCTCTACTTCTATTACCTAAAAACAGTTTTTAATCTGGCATGTTGGAGTCACCCACTCGTTTATGTTGACAGAATTTAGTGCTGAGGTCCACGAAGCCCTCGCTTGTGAAAACATGGATGTGTGAGGGGAAAAAAAGGAGAGCATTATAGAAAGTTTATCCAGACAAAAAATGCTTGAAATGTTGTTCGAATGCATTGCTTCATAAATTCAGTAAAGCAGAATTCAATTTTAATATTGGACAGCTGATTATCACGTTATTTTATATATCGCTGTT